AAGACTTAGAATGTAATACTTTGAATGGTTAGAAAACTAATATCCACCACTGGTGTTTTCGTTATGGTTGGTATATTTTCCACCAACCATTCTTTTCTTTTTTGTTTCGAGTTAAAAGTTACATTAAATTGAATTCTAATATTTGGTGAAATTTTAGTGGTGGGCTTAGTTGATTTAGTCAATCACAGCATGACTTAGTTAATTTAACGGATCTCTAACCCTTTGCCGGACGTGTGGTACACATAATCTTACAGCTGCAACTTTTTATTGTTCATTTTGATACTTTTTTTTCGCAAATGGGATCCATAGGTTGAGTATTTGTAAGTNAACCATTCTTTTCTTTTTTGTTTCGAGTTAAAAGTTACATTAAATTGAATTCTAATATTTGGTGAAATTTTAGTGGTGGGCTTAGTTGATTTAGTCAATCACACCACGACTTAGTTAATTTAACGGATCTCTAACCCTTTGCCGGACGTGTGTGGTACACATAATCTTACAGCTGCAACTTTTTATTGTTCATTTTGATACTTTTTTTTTGCAAATGGGATCCATAGGTTGAGTATTTTTAAGTTNTTAACGGATCTCTAACCCTTTGCCGGACGTGTGGTACACATAATCTTACAGCTGCAACTTTTTATTGTTCATTTTGATACTTTTTTTTCGCAAATGGGATCCATAGGTTGAGTATTTGTAAGTTTTTTTAATGCGTAATTGAAAATCAGTCATAGTATAACTTGAAGACATCTTTTATTTTCCACCACTATTGAGAAACCGTAGTGACTCACAACCTCCATGAACTTGACGCAACGAACTCTTAGTTTTATATGGCTATATACATAAGCAACAATCTTCTTCTTGGAATTTGAGTGATCTTAATTTGAGTAATGCATTTTCCCCTTTTTGGATTCCAAAAATCAATTACTATGTTTCCTTGAGGGTATAAATTATGATTATTGACCCGCTTTTTTGTTGGAGGTGTTAATCGTTTCGAAGACCTTTGTGGGCACTACAAGTTTTTCTCTTATGGCTAGCAATCCGTAGATCTCTAAATAAGTGGGTAAGCTCACTTAGTTTTTATTTATATTGTTTGAAAGGTNATTACTATGTTTCCTTGAGGGTATAAATTATGATTATTGACCCGCTTTTTTGTTGGAGGTGTTAATCGTTTCGAAGTCCTTTGTGGGCACTACAAGTTTTTCTCTTATGGCTAGCAATCCGTAGATCTCTAAATAAGGGGGTAAGCTCACTTAGTTTTTATTTATATTGTTTGAAAGGTTTGTCATAAACCTAATATTCTAACGTGGCATTGTTTTCCAGTTTGTTTCAGCTTGATGTTTTTATTTTTTTCTATTGATCCAATGTGGCATCTCTAATGAGTTATTGTTCTTGATTGGTGAACCTTATGTTTGATATTATTGCCCCCAAAAAAAGATGGATCTTTCTATCTCACTCTAGTNAACGTGGCATTGTTTTCCAGTTTGTTTCAGCTTGATGTTTTTATTTTTTTCTATTGATCCAATGTGGCATCTCTAATGAGTTATTGTTCTTGTTTGGTGAACCTTATGTTTGATATTATTGCCCCCAAAAAAAGATGGATCTTTCTATCTCACTCTAATTGTGAAGAAAAAATTGTGCCGCTTCAGAACAATAATGGGTGGATCAACATTACGCCCCCAAGCTATGGTGTGTTGATACAATAGTCTTTCCGGTTGTGTTTTGTCATTCAAGCTTATGGATTTGTTTAGCAATTCTAAGCTATTATCATGGTGGTTATATCTTTTTTTCGTGAGTTGTTTAATTCAAATTAAAATTTTCTAATTGGCCTATGTTAGTTCATTGACTCCTATATCGCTATTATCTTTGGCCAACATTTTGCTATATATCTTGAAATGCCAGCATTTTTCACTAGGGCACTTCTAAAAATGTCGAATTGTCATGGAATGAAAACTTTTCAAACTAATGCACTTTCGCAATAATATACACCTTCAGTATTGCATTTATATGACTCAATGTGGTCGATTTTATTTTAGATTATGTTGTTTATGTAATAGACCAAGTTCACTGTAGTTTATTACCTGAAGTTGGATTACATAGTTCAATATGGTCTCAGTGTTCTCATTTCCCTTGATTAGTCCTTTGTTCTCTAGGTTGGTTCCCATCAGGTTTGGATATTATAGATCTTTGTAAATTAAAATAACACAATTAATTGTTTCAGGTAAGTTTAGTGGTATAATCTAACAAAGATTACAGTTTAGGAATTGTACGTATGGAAACAACTGCGCTCAGTGCATGTATACACATATTTAACGAACAATCACATGCATTAAGTTTGGTGGCGGTTGATAGTGATGTACGAATTGGTTGTGGGTATTGATTTCAATTTCCTCATACATGTACTATGCGGTGATATTGATGCAATTTATATACTCTGTTGGGTGCAGAAGAAGCTCCTTATAGAACGCCAGAGTTTTGGTCATTAATTTCTAAAGTCCTAAATAATTTACCGAAAAATCAATATCTTTATATGTCTTACAATGACGAGAGTCTCTTGCATTAAAGCATGCTTATAACATGGGTCATTGGTTTAATAGTTGAAATTTGACCAAGTTACCTTAAAATTGTGTGTTCAAATATAAAGGTCGTCACTTTACGGAAATTATGCGAAGGATTGGCTTTATGCCTGGTTTATTCTTCCCCTCCCATTAAGGGTGATTAAAATGGGTATTATTTGTTTAGATATTATGGCAATGTTTTAGCACTACATCCAAATGACACTGCGGTTGTGTCACTCACTTCCCTTTTGACTATTGTTCTCATATTATGGGTAATTCCCTCTGAGCAGTGAATTGGTGGCATAAGGTATCTCAACTCCTCATTAACGCCAAAAATTACTCCAATGCAATTGATGTGTGGACTAGATGCTGCATAGATTGAGCACACAAAAGTCCCATTAAGTGTTTCATGACTCCATTTGATGGCTCTTTACTAGCCGCCTTTCTTTCTTCTTTTTGTCTATGTGAAGCATTTTCGGTAGACCAACAGAAGAAACCTGACAAGGAGTGATTGAACAACTTGATCAAGTTTATTCAAGGCAAAATTTGATCGTTAGGTGATTCAGGTTCTAATACTTCGAAAGATGATAAAAAAACCACCATGACATGGTGATTCTCATTTTTGTTTCCTTCTTTTATATTTGACATGCGCAACAACTTTGTGGCTTAGTTTCTGGGGTGTTTCCAGCCATTGAAACTAATAATCCTATACATTTAGAATCTTTTTAGTGCTCATGAAAGTACTGTGAATTTTTTTCTTTTTTGCTAGAAAATGATTGATTGTAATGTTGGGTTGAATGACTAAATGTATGTCCTCAATCATTGGCACACTTCAAGTCTGTTAATAATTAAGGATGGTAAACCGATAATTTTGAAAGCGATGGAGTATAGGAACATCTCTTTTGTGCCTGCTGTGCTCATAATGAATATATCGCAATTGATCATTGATGGGACACTTCTAGGAAGCGATGGGATTGGTGACGCGTGTTCTCGGCGTCGAGGTACGTCTTTGCCCTGTCGAAGCCATGTGCCCTCAACACCGAGACCCCCTGCTCTACAAATATATTCCTCGATGCCTAGACATATGCCCTCGCGGTCAAGGGTGACTCCACTCCCGGGGGGAAACAGGTGTCCTCAACCCTGAGGGTACTCACATCGTGCCTACCCCAAGTCTTCGACTTCTAGGGGAGTACTGATTGACAGCCGAACAATCTAAATTAGACTAGGAGTCAAGAGGGCACTCTGCACAATAGAGTCAGAATGAACTAAACACTCAACCAGAAAGAATCAAACATGTGGCATACAGTGGCTTGGGAAGCTGAGGATAGGGAATATTAAATGCCTAGGCCCTTGAATTTAAAGTCTTTACATCAAAGAAAAGAGCATTAACTGCTCGAAAGCCCGAACAATCAATACTAGGACATTCCCCATGCAAAATTGGAGGCACCCTGCCCCATCTCTAAAGGCTATCTATTGCCTAGAATGCTAGTAATGATAAGCCTTTGAAAGTATAAATAGCCCTAAAAAAACACATTATAAAGGAACGCAAAATCATTTCTCAAGAGTCACACAGTGTTTTCTTTTTTTCCTCTCTCAAAGAACTGACTTGATCGTCGCAGGGGATACGCTGAAAAACACTCTGACGCCCTTCTAACCTATTTTTTGTGATCCCAGGAATGATCATCCATCCCTAGGATCGGTCAGGTAGCCCTAAGGACAATTTATCACCACTCCTTAGACCCCATTTGGCTCTCTCAACTCATTCTTTGTTACTGGATCAACCTCCTCCACAAACCTGAATTCACCACAGGAGAAATCTGTTTACGATTCTTCTATTGTGCGAAAACCAACCCCGCACAGTCATTAATTCAATGAACTTAGTTATTTTCAATCTTTTGAGTTCTTATTTGCTGCATGCAAAAATATTTAGTAGAATAATGGAGTTTTAAGTTGGGTAACCACAAATGTAATGAAGGGTGTCAAATAATTTGTGAAATGCTCAAAATATGTCACGTACAATGTATGTATGCGTCAACAAGAAGATTATTTCTTCACATTTTATACGAGGTAAAAAAAATTCGATAGATATGGTCGGTGACCTAGTAAAGATAAACAAACATTTGTCTCAGACATCATTTGGCATCATATATGTTGGTTAAAAAATTACAAAAATAAAAAGCATAACTCAAAATAATCCACGTGCAAACGCACATGTGCACCCACTAATACATTTAAAATGCTAGTTATAAGGAGTGGAATATGATAAAGGATTAGGCTATATCATGGCATCGGCTAACGACAATAACCCAAAACAACTTGGGGTTGAATTGGAGACATCTTAGATGACTTAGCCGAATCACGTGAGACTTGTAATTTATTTGAAATGTAAAACGATATCGGAAAGTTGTATCGATCCCAGTCAATGATTTGAACCCATTAATTTAAAGTCTATAAAATGGTGTGGAAGAATTCACACAAACCCTGTTGGGACAGGCCCCAGTTGTAATCAGCTGCAACACGCCATGCAAAGTAACCAAGCAATCCTTTCTGCTTAGCATAAGAAACCTTAGTGGAGGTAATTTGTTTATCATCATAACCTATCCATGTTGTTCCAGCATAACAATAGTCCGAAACAATTGTAGCATTGTACACAGTTGTGGCCTTGTTCTGGGTAATGAATGCCTTGATCTGATGGTAAGTAATGGCCCCCATGTCCGAACCAACCAGCCCGTTCGCCGGTGCCAAGACACCATGGTTATTAGCATTTACCAGACGCCGTGAATATCCATAAAATGGCATGCCAAGCACTAGCTTCTTTGCAGTAATTCCTGCTTGAATCCAAGCTCCAATCCCATAGCTCGCACTAACTTGACCAATTGAATCATACAGTGCAGCATGTGAATTAGTAAATTTAGAAATGGTTGGATCAAAAAAGTCATAGGCCATGACATTGATCCAGTTTAAGCCACTTGAGATGGATTGAATTGGATAATTCAATCCATCAACTGTTGGCGCAAATGAAACTGCGGCGGTTAAAATCAACGGTGGTTTGCCGGAGTTTTTTGCCTCTGCTATCACGGCCGATTGTCATTAGATTAGTAGTGAGCCCAAATTGACCATATCCGATGTCGTNCATTAGATTAGTAGTGAGCCCAAATTGACCATATCCGCTGTCCTTTGAGGGTATTCCCAATCCAAGTCTAGACCAAGAAAACCATAAGACCTGGCCCAGTTTATCGATGGATCGATAAAAGTTTTCTGAGAAGCAGAATTGCTTGCCATTGAAGCAAAAGCTGCCTTATCAGAGTTTCCACCACCAATTGACAAAAGGGTTTGAACTGAAGGGTTTTTAAGTTGGACAGTTTTGGTGAATTGAGAGAATTGGGCATTGTTTGAGGAGGAAACTGTAATTCGATAAGTTTGGGATCAAGATCTGCNACCAATTGACAAAAGGGTTTGAACTGAAGGGTTTTTAAGTTGGACAGTTTTGGTGAATTGAGAGAATTGGGAATTGTTTGAGGAGGAAACTGTAATTCGATAAGTTTGGGGATCAAATGCACAAAATAGGTGAGTGAAAAGGGTTGAATCTGTGAGAGGCAAAAACAGATGTACCTACGAGCATGAAGGATTGATATCTCTAGTAAAAGTGAGCTCTGAACTTGATCTTTCAGTTTGTCCCTCCTATAAAATGAACAAATTGTCCAAGATCGAAGTGTTTCGATCGAAGACACTCCGATACTTAAGTTAGTAATGGAGTGGAGTGAATTATAAGAAGATAATGAGAGTTCAGCATACCTTTCACCTTGACTCCTTATGCTTTTTATAGAACTTTGCTTAATTAGGATTTCCATGATTTTCGGTTCAAGGTGGTACACCTTCTTTCAATCTGGCTACTTTGTTCAAGAAGTTGCTAAGATCTCTCCAGCAGTTTCTTCTACCGAGCCTATGATCATGCCCATTCGTTTGACCAGAATGCCTGTATTATAGGCATCTATTTAGCACTACGTTTACTGTTTGATACAGCTCGGTCATGATGAGGACCGAGCCCGTTCCCTCCTTCCCGAGCTCTCTAAACAGCTCAATTGTTGTCTGATGATGGAGTCTAATGAAGTCTTTCACACGTGACTGGTCTTGTCTTCTTCTCGTGAGATCATTTAATGTAATTACACGTGTTATAAACGGAGCTACTCCTTCAGAATCTATATCAGATGCCGCCAGACCACTGTCAGGGAACCAGTAGGCAGCTTTAACAACATTTTGTGCAGTGGAGAAGTCAAGTTGCAGAATAAATAAGAGTGGAAAGATGAGGAAGATGATAGTTGTGGTTGCCATTGAAGAGAACGGTTGTGTATCTTGCTTGCTGAGTAAATAGGATGTCTCAATAAGATATATTTACATGGGTTAATTGCAAATTGTATCTTCAAAGATCATTCAAATCTCAATTTTTACCCTCAAAATCAAAATTTTCAATTTATACGCTCAAAAATAGAAATTTATTTCAATGCGCATCTGAAATTTACAGCCGTTGGTTTACCGTTTAAAACTAAATGAATAAATTACACTTAAATTCTTTCATACTTGTCACTTAATCATTTTGCCCCCTCACATTTAGAATATTACTCAAACACCTCTTGATGTTTGTACACGTGTAACACATAACCCCTTGTCGTTGATATCTGTTAATATAACCGTTAAAAATTATGATTTCATCTTAATAAAAAATTATAATTTCATACTACATTTTATTTTGTGGACTTGTTCTTCACTAAAATTTAAAATCAAGCTTGCTATTTGAATGTTCAATATAATGCAGGTATTTATATTATGTTATTTGTATCCAATGTAATATATCACTTAAACAGAATTATTTAGATGTCCAATTGGATGAACATTTTTAGTCATATTTAGATTCAAATGTGGGAGGCATAGGTAATTAAGTGACAAGTATGAGAAAATTTAGGTGTAATTTATCCATTTAATTTTAGATAAAAAAACTGACGATTGTTAGCTTAAGGTGCGCATTGATACAAATTTCTATCTTTGAATGTATAAATTGAAATTGTTAATATTTGAGGATATAAATTAAAATTCAAATAATCTTTTAAGGTACAATTTAAGATTAACCCTATTTATATTCACTTTTGAAAGTAAAACAACGGTTAGGACTCAATTTAATCGCATTCAGGCCAATGTTGTTATAGAATGGGTTGTTGTAGAAGGGGTTGTTATAGAAAAAAAGGTAGACATGAGTTAATGATTAGAAATCAATGAGCCTTTGGTCCAAAATGGTACTCCTTGTCTTGTAAAGGTTTGTCTTCTTGAGGTTAAGGATTCAAATTTCCCTTCCCCTTCCCCTTCTCCCTCCCAAAAAAAATGAAAAAAAAAAAAAAGTTAATGATTAGACACTCTCTTGGCATTAGAAGTACTAACTGACGAGCTAAAATCCAAATTAGGCTTAGTTTATGAGTTGAGCTCAAATTATCTAAAGGTAGATCATATTTAGTTCATAGTTTTAGTGCACTTCAAAGCTCAAAAGTCTAGGAAGAATTAATACACATGGGAGAGCAATCATCGAGATAGTCATTACTCGAAGATAGCACATATCCTTAATTATAATTATCCTCTCCAAACAGACTAATATAGTAACATGACCTTCACATCACCGCCTTAGTTATCGTCTTAGTTATGATTTTGTACCTATAAATTGTAAGCCTCTACACATGAGGGGGAGACAACCATCTCTCATATAGCTACCTCACCACATCTAGAACTTGCGTGTGCTCTCTCTCCCATCTTCTATTTTATTATTAAAGTTTTTTGACTATTGTTGTTGCCTTCAGTGGTTAGGTCAACTAAACCTAACCACCCAATGTTGGTCTCTTATTATTAACTGTTTCACACTCAACTAATTGATTGTCCATAAATCCACTTTTGTGCATCATTACTAACAATGTGCCACCTTCACGTGAATAATGTTAGTACACAAAAAATAATAAAACATATTATGTATATGTGTATCTGAATTAAATATCATCTCAAATTTATCAAACTTAATTTTTCGTTGTTCAGTCTATTGTACGATTACGAAAACTTTGTATGTTATCAAAAAATTTTGATCTAACAATAAAAAAGATTAAAAAAATAATTAAAGTTATATATTTTTTTTTAAGAATTTTGTGATTGAGATTGAATTTTTAGTGATGTTTGAGAAATTAAATTTTTTAAAATTCATTTGATTAGGATTTCACTTATAATTCCTTGAATAAAATAAAAAGTAATTGTCAATATACTAATCACATTGGAATCTTACTGTAATTAGAAATTAATTAGGTCAATTGGGATATGATTTAATATACTACTCTATAATATATATTATTAAGCATATTAAAATTCTAAAAAATTTAAGTTTTACTTAAAAATACACTACAATATCTATTTTTACATAAAATTTTAGTACAACTTAGAAATATTATTGTGATTGAAAAATTATACTTATGTAACATAAATTAATTTTAATATATATATATATATATATACATATATATATATATGATTAATTTTTATCTTAAAAATGAAAGGGTTAAATTTTTTGATAAAAAAAAAAAAACCAATACACATATGTATGCATAATGTTATATTTGCATATGAGATAAATAATATTAGATTGATGGAGTTTTTGAAGGTTTTTTTAACATTTTATTGAAAATATAAGGATGCATATTTTTAAGGGTAATATAGTTAACAAAAAAGTTTTATAGAAACTGATATTTATACATAAAAAATAGATAACTAAAAAAGATGATATAGATAATTTGGAGATTTAAAGACTAAGAATATGATGATAATTTAAATATTTAATTGTGAAAGGATCAAGTAGTCTTTATAATCCTTTATAAGGGCAAAATAGAGACATTGGTGAAAGTTTTCGCTAAAACATTTGATAAAGGGAGACTTACACCCAGATTTCTTGAAATTTGTTACTTAATCATTCAGATCTCTGACATTTGAAATATTACACACAGACTTCCTAAGGTTTGTACACGGGTAACACTTAGACTCCTGATGTAGATAGAGTATTACTATTAGGACTTAAAAATCTGACATAATTTGTTGACATAATGATGTGGCTTCACTATGACCTTTGGATTGACTGCGAGTTCCATCAAACATTAGAACTTGGTATTAATCCAATGGTTTCAATGAAGCCACATCATTATGTCAGATTTTTAAGTCTCAATAGCATTACTCGATGTAGATATGTCTGTTAATAAAGTACACTTAAACTCCTCTAAAGTTTGTAGGTATATAATAGTTAGACCCTCTAAGTTTAAAATGTTATACTTAAACCAAAAATACTTTAATCAAAGATAAAATTTCAAATATTTTAAATATTACAATTAAAATTTATGTTCTATTATATCGTTTATTGAAATAAAATCAAAAATAAAAATTTAATTTTTTCTTAAAAAATTGTAATTAGTATACAAATTGTCTATTGGAATTTAATTTGGTCGTTTAAACAATCAAATTAAAATACCAAACTACCCCAATTAAAGCTAAAATATATTGTGTCCATTACAGTTTGACCCCTTGTTTAATTTTTTTTAGTTTTATTCTAATAGATAGTATAATTATACACTAACTATAATTTTTTTTAAAAGTCTAGATATTTATTTTTGATTTTACTTCAATAAATGACATAATAGAATATGAATTTTAGTTATAAAATTCGTGTTTTATTATGAATGACTTAGATCCATTGTTTGATTTTAAGGTTTTATTCCAATAGATAGTATAATTGTACACTAATTACGATTTTTAAAANTTTTTACATAAAATTTTAGTACAACTTAGAAATATTATTGTGATTGAAAAATTATACTTATGTAACATAAATTAATTTTAATATATATATATATATATATACATATATATATATATGATTAATTTTTATCTTAAAAATGAAAGGGTTAAATTTTTTGATAAAAAAAAAAAAACCAATACACATATGTATGCATAATGTTATATTTGCATATGAGATAAATAATATTAGATTGATGGAGTTTTTGAAGGTTTTTTTAACATTTTATTGAAAATATAAGGATGCNTATCTACAAACTTCAGAGAGGTTTAAGTGTAATTTATTAAAAAATATATTTACATCAAGGGTCTAAGTGTTATGCACGTACAAACTTTAGGGGGTCTGTGTGTAATATTCTAAATATCAGGGAGTATGAGTGATTAAGTGACAAATCTCAGGGGGTCTGGACGTAATTCTCCCTTTGATAAAATACATAAAAATTTAATTATATTGCTAAATTAGATATTGTCTCATGTTTATAATACTTAAATTGTTTGTATTATGAATGAAAAAAAAAAGGATTAATCTCATTTTACACCTCGA